AATTGAAATCCTCCTGCTTTAGAGTGCTGCCTGGGTTATAAGTGTGCATCATCATAACTCACTCCTCCCAGCCATACTAAGAGCATACAGCTGTTACACCTGGCTTAGGTGGTCTATGTGAACACCATGACAACATGAAACCTCATAGTGTAGACTCTGTAAGTGTGCAGAAGGGCCCATCATCTCTGCTGGCTCTTGTCCTGATGGCAGCATCAGTCTAAGAAGTCAGGATTTGAGGAAAATTTCTATAGATGCAAACTTTGGGAAGGAATGAACACCTGGAGTTTCCTAGCTAAGGGCAGTGTATGCTTGTCCCTGTGACTGTGGCTTCTGTGTGTGTGTGTGTGTGTGTGTGTGTGTGTGTGTGTGTATGTGTGTGTGTGTGTGTGTCTGTCTGTCTGCCTATCTACCAGACATGCACCAGCTATACCATTAGAAGGACAAACAGGGAGACTGGGATGGCAAGAAGTGTTTGTAGTAGGGCCCTCCCCATGAGAGGTTGAGGAAAGTTTTGCTGCCAGCTACAGTGACATATGTGGGCGGCCCCAGGGCCAGAGCTTACATTTAGGCTAAGAATGTATTCTGGTACCTCTAGGAAGTGCAGTAGAGGTCTCCCCAGAAGGGTTCCCAGGGCCTTACTGATGACAGACTCTGTCCCTAAAACCTGTTGGCTCTGGCCTTCCTTAAGCACAGATACAAGCCACTGAGGCAGTGAGCCAGGGACTCTGAGTTCTAGGGCTATGTATAATCTCATGGCATAACCAGGACCAGACACCAAAGCTTGGACTCTACTCACAGCTGTTTCATATAGCATCTCTAATAATATGACATTACCACCCAGGGTCTGAACCCTGGAGTCAAGAGACCTGGGTCCAAATCCAGGAATAATAAAAACTAGCTGTTACTTATTGGCTTTGAGATTTGGGCTGCATATTTCAAGTTCTGAGTTCGTCCTTTATCCATAAAATGAAAGTGATACCTATCCGGTGCAGATGCTGTGCAAATTAAGGTGAATTTGGGTAAAATTCTTAGTATAGAACTAGTTTTTAGTAAACATTCAATAAATACAAAAGTGCTTTTTTAATTGTAGCAATCAGTATTGTGACTCACAGTTCCTTCACTGGTCTGGATCTTAGGTTTCCTTTCTATAAAGCATGAGGTTAGATTGGATCAGGGTCCAACTCTGTCATCCCCAAGGGTCGCAGAGGAAGACCTTTGCTCTAGAGAGGGTTCAGGACATAGCCTGAAGCAGCTGACAAAAGCTTTTCTTTTGTTTTCATTTGTCCTTCCTTCCTTCCTTCCCTCTTTCCTTCCTTCCTTCCTTTCTTTCTCCTTTCTTCCTTTCTTCTCTCCTTCTTCCCTCCCTCCCTCCTTTATTTTTTCTCCCTTTCTCCCTTTCTTTCTTTCTTCCTTCCTTCCTTTCTTTTTCTTTCTTTCTTTCTTGTGTGTGCATGTGTGTGTATGTGTGCATGTTATCAGTACTGGGGCTCGAACTCCAGGTCTACGTGTTGTCCCTTAGCTTTTTCACTAAAGGCTGGTACTGTACCACTTGAGCTACAACTCTACTTCCAGTTTTTTAGTGGTTAATTGGAGATAACAATCTCATGGACTTTTTTACCTAGGCTAACTTCAAACTTGAATCTTCAGATCTCAGCCTTCTGAGTGAATAGGAATGAGCCACCAGGTTCCAGAAAACAGCATTTCTTCAAATCCTATATTTATTTGCAACATTTGCTTACAGTTAGCATCCAATACAATAATGTGAGTGTATTGATTTTAATATAAAATAATTTCTCTATATTTTTTGAGTAAAATAGATGTTCAGAATGACATTAGCATCAGGTACCCTCACAGGACCCACAGCTGTACCCCTCTTGGGATGGAGGTGAGACTGGACAGTTTTGAAGGTCTTTCCTAGCTGTGATTTTTCCATGTTCCTATGGCATATGAATCTCCTCCTCTGAGAATGCTATGAAATAACCTTGAAGTAACTTCAGAGAGGCTGACTCTCCATACCTCTACACCTGGGGGGATAGATAGGGTTGAGTAGGAGCAGACCTAGCAAAAGGAGGGAGCAGATACAGTCCCCCACTGGAGAGCTCAGAGGTCTGGAAAAAAAACAGTGCTATGTCTGAGCCTAACTTCCTGTCTTGGACTGACAAAGCTAGCTAGCTCAGGTAGGGAGCAGTCTACTATGTTAGTGAATTCCAGGTAATGGTGAGCCATTTTTTTCCCATCCACAGTGGGAGATGTGTGTCCTATAGAAACATAGGGCTGGTCACATGGCTACTGGATCCTTCTAGCTGCACTGGGCTTGTGTCCAGCCCGTGGGAGGAGAGGAGTGGGAACTTAGATAAGAACACTGAGCTGAGGGGAGGACACAGAGATTTCTGGTTCTGAACAGAAAAACAGTAATCTCTAACTGTGATCTCTGTGTATAGATACTGTCCACTCGTGGTCAGCTTTGAACTGATTTGTCAGGACTGGCCTCTCCTTATGCAGAGTCCCTCCTCAGGCATGCGGCATTGGAATGAACCACCTATTTGTTCAGGACAAATATATGGAACATTCCCTGGGTGAATGATGGGCCACATTAGTCAAGTCTGTGCTTGTCAGATAATATGACAATAAAGTCACAGAGAATGTCAACAAATGCTGCAAATTTCCTGTTGACTTGGTGCTTTTAATAAGATTTACTGGCAGAAAACAAGGGAAGGGGTGACATTGTTCAAAAAGAAATATACTCATTACATAACTTATAAAACTCTAACCCCTCTGTACATTACCTTTACAATAACAATTTAAATTATCATCATCATCATCATCATCATATTTAATATATATTTATAAACCTCTCCTAAGCAAGTTACACTTTTATCTGTTGAATATCTAGTGTGAACAACATGAAATAAAATTTAATTCAGAAAACCATTCATAAATTGTTAAATCAGTAGCTGATCAGGTGTTAATTTTAAGTAAAACCTTTTGGTAACATTAGCTAGGAGCGTTGCTCTCCTAGGGTTCCTCCACAACCTCATCTCAATTAACAGTGATTGTATTTTTCAAAACTCCCTATCCTATCCATTTACCAGATGAGTTACCTTGCTGTTACACACACATGCAGATCAGCTCCATATTGGCAGCTTATCCATGTGGATCTTCAGGGCTTATTCTTGTTGTCTTCCAAGTGTCTTTGAAGATTACGTTGTTCTACTCTGGGCCTTTTTTTCTCATCTATAAAATAAAGGAGTGGACAAAGTGATCTAAGTTCCCTCCTATTCCTGACATTCTGTCACCCAACCAACTTATACTGAAATTATCAGTATAAGCAGAGGGCCATGGATTGCTGACGACAAGCTTAAGAGAAGCACAGGAGTCTGTCCCACCATGTACCAAGTGGTTTTATGGTCTGTATATAGCTCCAGGGGTAGACATTCTCTAACAGTGAAAAGCAACTGATTAGTTAATTCAAGGCAGGAATGAATCATCCATTTTTGAGATGACTGCAGTATTTAAGTGAACTGGAACTTTTGGTGAACACAGATGTGTGAGGCTGAGGTTGGTCTGACACAGCAGACTGTTTTAGAGTGAACTTTTATGTATAAGTAGAAATATACTCAAAATAATGATTAGAGGTATAGTATACACACAAACCAGTGACATCTCCATTTACAATTGATCACGAGATATTAAGCACAATTGTAAACACTATGCTTTTATACAGCTGTTAGCACAGTTGGTTTGTGTAGATCAGCATCAGCACAGTTGCATGAGAAACACATTGTACTGGGACATCAGGATGGACACAGGGTTATTAGGTGATAAGAATGTTTCAGCTTCATTAGAATCTTAGGGGATGATGGTGGTATATGCAGTCTGTCAACCAAACTCATGTACCACACAACTGTGACAAGTGTAGTTTGCCATTTTTTGAATGCTTGATAAGTGTCAGGCATTGTTAGAAATGATTTTGTGTATTACAGTTAGAATGTATTGGGTGTTTGGGGGAATCAGTATTATATTAGATACTTGAGATTACCTCTAATCCTATGCCCTGTCAAATAGATTTACAGATGAGACATTGAGGTTTAGAGAGATATAATCACCCAAAGTCATCCTGCAGCATGCCAGAGGCAGGGTTCAAGTGCATGCAAGACTTTCAGCAAAGCCTTGGATGTGATCGTTCCATCGAAGCCGTCTGTTTTTTAGGTTTGAGTGTATTGTTACTGTTGTAACAGGATTGCTGGTGTCCCAGCTGCTGTGATCACCTCTCTCTAGTTAAAGCAGCCCACCTGAAAATCCACCTGGATTAGCACCTTTCCTCCTCTAGCATGTAGAGCCACTAAAAACAACCTGTGTCTCTAGGCTGTTTCTCTCCACACTCATCAGGTATGGAAGGAACAATTGAAACTGGGGTACTATTTGCCAGCCTTGAGCTTTGGGGGCAAAGCAACTGTTTGGAGGGAGGAATTCAAAAACAACTATAAACTGACATCTTGAATCCCCCAAGCTTGAAAGTCTTTATAAGCTGGCCTGGCTCTTGACTCCTTTCCCTTTGCTGTGTTGCATGGGGTAGGATTTGGGAACGAAATATGTCCAGCCTCTACAGAAGGCTTGTGTTTATGTGCACATGTGGAGCCAGACGGGGTGTGCACTGCCCCTGGCCCAGGAGCTCTAGGGGGAGCTGTGCTCTGCCTAGCTGGCTGCAGTCCTCATTCTTATCAGTGTGCACGTCTCTGTAGCCCCACCCATACACAGTGCGTTCTGTCCCCCTCCTTGGGAGACTTGTCCCCACGGAATGCCGCAGGCAGTCAGTGATATGTGCTAATGAGATGCATGCGCTTTGGGATTGTGGCTACAATGTGCATTTGGCTGATTTAGTTTCTGGTTCTAGTTTGGTTTCTTTCACATGTGACTTGTATTGCTGAAACTTTCTCTCAGCCTCTTGTCATTAAATTCCAACTTAAGCAGAAGTCCCAGCAGGAAGAGAACAGCTCCAGGAGACCAGGCCACACTTATCCTGTGTGTGTGTGCAGTGGGTATGTTTATTTGATTTTGTTTGTTTGTCTGTGTATATATTTAAGACCACTTAAAAATACCTGTCTGTAAAAAATGCGGGCGCTCGTTGCGCTGGAGAGTGACAATCTCTCCTATCATGGCTTGCTAATATGCTGATGTAGTCTTGCTGACATGAGCAGCTCATCTGCCATTAGGATACTAGCCACTCTGCTATGTATATTCTGTGAGTGAAGGCCCAGGAAGATGTGGGCAGGGAGAAGCTGTCTGGTGACTGGGAGAAGAACTTAGAAGTGTGGGGCAAGTGTAAGCTGGCTTTACACACGTTTACTTGAAAATGCAGCTCTAAGTAGCCAGGGGATGCCATCAGAAAACCTAGAGATGATGCCCAGGATGTGACATGACATGCCTATTTCACAGACAGGAAATCTGAGTGATTGCTGGGAGACAGTGGCTCACACCTGTAATCCTAGCTACTCAGGAGGCTGGGATCGGGGGATCATGGTTCAAAGCCAGCCCAGGCAGGAAAGTCAATGAAACTCTTATCTCCAATAAACCACCAGAAAACTGGAAGTGGTGCTGTGGCTCAAGTGGTAGAGTGCTTGCCTTGACCTGAAGAGCTGAGGGACAGCACTCAGGCCCAGAGTTCAAGCCTCATGAGAGGAAGGAAGGAAGGAAGGAAAGAAAGAAAGAAAGAAAGAAAGAAAGAAAGAAAGAAAGAAAGAAAGAAAGAAAGAAAGAAAGAAAGAAAGAAAGGAAGAAAGAAAGAAAGAAAGAAAGAAAGAGAGAGAGAAAGAGAGAAAGGAGGAAAGAAGGAAAGAAAGAAAGAAAGAAAGAAAGGAAGGAAGGAAGGAAGGAAATAAAGAGAGAGAAGCAAAGAGTAGAAAAGACACATGCCAGGTTTAGGGCTTGGACCGGCACCCTGTGTCTGGAACCAAATAGAATAGGGCTCAGGGAGGTAGATTCATTATCTTTATGACCTGTTTCCCTGTTCCTTTCATTGTGTACTCTTTAGTGATCATGAGATTTTTCTAGACAATAAAATTGAATTGAGTCACAGTTTGCAAGTTGAAACCTACAAGTGTTTATTGAGAGCTTACTACAATATGGGTTTGCGGTATTATAGGCATTGAAGCTATAGTAGTGAGCAGAACACACAGCCCTGTGGCCTGGGGTAATTTACATTCCACTGGAACACAGATGTTAATCCGATGACCACTCCATTATGAGATTGCCAGGTTCGATGCACAGGATGAACACGGGACCAGCTTCTCACATTGGGGCAGACTTCTGTATTGTGTTTTCCATCAGCTATTTAGAACTGGAGCCATTTTGCTTTTTTTTTTTTTTCTTGGTCATGGGGCCTGAACTCTGGGCCTGGGTGTTGTCCCTCAAGCTCTTCAACTCAAGGCTAGTGCCCTACCACTTGAGCCACAGCGCCACTTCTGGCTTTTTCTACTTATGTGGTGCTGAGGAATCGAACCCAGGGCCTCATGCATGCAAGACAAGCACTCTACCACTGAGCCACCTTCCCAGCCTTCCAAATTGCTTTTTACTTACATTTTCTCTGTGGTTTGGTCCATTGTACTGATCTCTCAGGAATGTTTGTATGTGTGTGTGTGTGTGTGCGCGCACGCGCGCGTGCGTGTATGTGTGTTTGTGTGCGCGCGCATGCATACAATTTATTTTGTACTGGTGCTGGTGCTTGAACTCAAGGCTGTCATGCTTTCACTTCACTTTTTCATCCAATGCTGCTGCTCTACCACTTGAGACACAGTTCTACTTCCAGCTTTTTTGTTGGTTAGAAATAAGTCTCTCAGATATGTCTTCTTGGGCTGGCTATGTACCATAATCCTCAAAGTTCAGCCTCCTGAGTAGCTAGGATGACAGGAGAGACACTGACATCTGATTCTCAGAAGTATATTTAATCTCCATGTGCTTGGCATACCACATTTGACAGAGACACATCTTCTGTGTTTTCTTCTGAATCCTCGATCCTGGCTCTGTCCAATTCAAAATGACTTTTCAATTGCATTGCCTGCCATTAGAAATGCTAGCTGAGAACCTAGGTTTGAATTCCCTTATTTTCTCAGGGTGAACAGCCTCAGGTTTTGATGAATTTCTACTTCTGTTAGCCATGGACTGTTGGGACATCTTTACAAGCAAGGCCTTCCAGAATCTTGGCCAAGCATCAGTATGGTCCCAAGCTGTGCCTCTCTCTGCTGACAAATGTTCTACCTTCTCTCGAAGGAAAAGACAGAATCCAGTTAGATCTTGATTTTCCCTCTTTCTCCCTGACCTTTACAGCTATACACAGCCTCTCACCTCTACTTTTTCCTCTCCGCTGTCTTTTAAGGAGTCAGAGTAGATGTTAACAGGGAGTCTAAAGCTAGACTTTTCTGTTTGGGCTTTTAAAAAAGAAACTGTAGGGTTTTTTGGTATTTTTTTCTTTTTTGGTACTGGGAATTAAACCCAAGACATTGCACTTGCTGGCAAGCTCTTTGTCACTGAGTTACATATCCCAGCTCTAAAGATGGATTCTTAAAATACGTATTGGTCCTTGAGACACTTACAAGGCCAATGAACTCAAAACTATTTTTGGTATGTTGTGTTTTTTTAAATCTCTAATTATCTATCTGTACTGTGGCCTTTCCCAGAAGCTACAAGTATTGTGATGGCCCAATAGACTAGATGCAGAAGCAGATAGGAAAAATCTACCTGTTTTCTTTTAAGCCACACATATAAGCTGGATTGCAGCTCAATAGTAGAGGGCAGGTTTTTAAGCATATATGAGGCTCTGGGTTCCAACCCCAGCAACACACACACAAATACACACCCATAATTCAGAACTGAGCAGCACTTCTTACTAAATTCCCTCCCTGGCTCCCCCGCACCCCGCATTGGTCATGGGGCTTGAACTCAGGGCCTGTGTATTGTCCTAAGCTTTTAAGCTCAAAGCTAGTACTCTACAACTTTGAGGCACACCTCCACTTCCAGCTTTCTGGTGGTAATTGGGGATAAGAGTCTTATAGACTTTACTGCCTGGGTTGGCTTTGAACCATCATTCTCAGATCTCCTTAGTAGCTAGGATTACAGGCATGAACCACTAGTGCCTTGAACTCTGGGCTTGGGCACTATCCCTCAGCTCTTCAGCTCAAGGCCAGCGGTCTACCACTTGAGTCACAGAGCCACTTCCGGTTTTCTAGTAGTTTATTGGAGATAAGAGTCTCACAGACTTTCCTGCTCGGGCTGGCTTTGAACTACCATCCTCAGATCTCAGCCTCCTGAGTAGCTAGGATTACAGGCAAGAGCCTCCGACGCCCTGCTTTTTTTTTTTTTTAAATCTATACAGAGGTATGAACTCAGAACCCTGTATTCGACAAACTGACCCTCCACCATTTTTGCCACAACTCCAGTTTCTAATATACTAATTTGTTGGTAGTGCTAAGGTTTAAACTCAGGGTCTCATGTTTGCTAGGCAAGTGCTCTTCCACTTGGAACATACCTCTAGTCCTTTGGCTCTTAGGTTTTTGTTTTTGTTTTTTTCTCTTTCATTTAATCTTTTTATCTTAATTGTGAAAATACCGTACAGAGGGATTACAATTACATGAGCAAGGTAATGAGTGTATTTCTTATCAAGCATTGCCTCCTCCTTTGTTTCCCCTTCCCATCCCTTCCCATCTCCCCCCCTTCCCCCCCCCCCCGCCTCTGGCTCCTCCTCCTCCTCCCCCCTTGCACCAAAGTTGTAAAGTTCATTTTTCGACATAACGTCTTGTACATCTTATTGTTACAATGGGTCTACCTGTATCCCTATTTAAACAGTTTGTTTTTTCCTTCCCCTCCCCTCCCCAAATTATACCAACATCAAATACAGTGAAAACAGGAGTTATACCGTGGGAGATGGACATACAAAGCAACAAAGAAATCATCATGTTAGAAACAATAGCAAGAAAGAAAAACCACTTGAGTCCTTATCTTGGGTTTCATTTCGCTTAACATCAACTTATCTGACTATTTCTGCTTGTCTCAGACATATACTAGTTATTGCAAATAAGGGAAACCATGGAACCTACGTTTCTTTGGGCCTGGCTTACTTCACTTAATAGAATTTTTTCCAAGTCTTTCCATTTCCTGTTTTTTTTTTGTTGTTGTTTGTTTTGTTTTTAGTTGGGGCTTGAATTCAGGGCCTGGGCACTATCCCTGAGCTCTTTTGCTCAAGGCTAGTCCTCTACCACTTTGAGCCACAGCACCACTCTTGGTTTTCTGGTGATTAATTGGAGATAAAGTCTCACAGACTTTACTGTCTGGGCTGGCTTTGAACCACACTCCTCATATTTCAGCCTTCTGAGTAGCTTTAGGCCACAAGTGCCTGGGTCAGTTTTTTTTTTTTGGGGGGGGTCCAGTTGTGGGGCCTGAACTCTGGGCCTGGGCGCTGTCCCTCAGCTCTTCAGCTCAAGGCTAGCACTCTACCACTTGAGCCACAGCGCCACTTCTGGCTTTTTTCTTTTTGCTTATGTGGTGCTGAGGAATAGAACCCAGGGCCTCAGGCATGCAAGGCAAGCACTCTACCACTGAGCCAACTTCCCAGCCCCTGGGTCAGTTTGTTTTTAAGATAGGGTCTCATGATTTTGCCTAGGCTCATCTTATACCACAATCCTCCTATGTCTGCCTTCTAAGTAGCTGGAATTCCCTGAGCCACCATGGTTGGCCTACTAAATTTGGATAGCAATAATTCATAAACAAAAGCTCTTTTGGAGCATAAAAGGGTCTTGAGACCAAAAACACTTGAGAACCACTGACCTGGAGAGTCGCATGAACACTGCTTCAAGAATCTAACATGACAGTGGTGCTTATGTTCACAGTTTGTCCCTAGGTGAGTGGGTTGCCTAGAACAAGTGATTCCCCGGGAACTATGGGAACACTCTGCATGCTAGGGGATGGGATCTGGCCTGTGTATCACCATGCAGAATGCCCTGAAGAGGATTCCTGGGGCTCTCTAGGTGGAACGGCCTGGTGTAGGCTCAGTTTGGCTCAGATCTTAGCCTGATTCCTGCCTAGAATGACAGCACAGGCCGCTCCCCAGGCTTACCTCTTCCTCTAGGGATCATAACCAGGATTCTTCCGTTGAAAGAAGACAGAGCTGAGTCTCAAGAGACAAATGTCTTGTGAGCTCTGGTGCTAATCCCAGGCCAGATGTGCCAAGGGGTTGGAGTGGCATTCCAGACCAGATGTGGAGTTGGGGGTGTGCCCAGCTCATTTGAGGGCTCAGCTCTCTGCCTGACACAGTCCTTACTTTGCTCCATGCTCAGATTGCAATCTGCAGCTCTGAGCAAGTAAAAACCTGTGTGAGCTTCCACCCCTGGCTCTCCAGGACTCCACTGAGAGCCTCTGCAGTGGCAGCCAGGGGTTTCAAAGGTCACCCCAGCTGGGCGGATTAGAACAACAGATCTCCCAGCAAAGTTGGCTGCTTGGCAGCAGAAGGCAAGTTGCAACATCTGCGAGCAGAGTTAGAACAAAGCCCCTTCACTTTGTCTGTCTGGCCCTGGGCTCTGTGGCACTCAGTTTTCCTCTCCATTCTTGCCAGACCTTGGACAGGAATCTCAGCAGCACAGCAGTGACACGCAGCTGCCTCACGTCCTGCCACAGTCGGAAGGAGGCCACGGTAAGGTGTGTCCCCACATACCATTGGGTGGCCCTGCTCCACTTTGCCCTGGTGGGTCTTGGCAAGCCAGCCTGGCACAACGGAGGAGCGGCTCACTCCAGGATTATGAAGTGATTAGGGCATTTGTCAGGATTTGAGCACATTGCAGGGAGGATTAAGGAGGGCTAGTGGGGCTGTCACTGCCTGGAGTGTTCACACATGGGTGGTTTTATGGTCTATGATGTGTATTCTTCAGGGGGTCTGTGGCAGGCTGCCAGGCTTGCCTGGGAGCCCCTCCATTCGGGGAAGATTTTCCAGGATGCGCTGCAAACTTGTTTCAGTGTATTTATGTTGAATAGGAAAGGTGTGACTGGCTTCTCCAAACTTAACTTGCTGGATGACCAGAACCCTGAATTTTTACTTTTTGTTTGTTGCCCCATATTTTTTTGGCCTCAGAGTTGTTCTGCCTTTGGCCACAGTTGAAAGTGCCCTCTTCTGGGTTCAAGAGATGATTTAAAGTGCTTTTGATCACATTAAAGTCCCATTAATTCAGTGCTGCTTTGAGTGAATAATAAATTGTGTTATTTGTGGAGACTTTATTTGGAGATAGGCTTTGGCTCAAACATTAGTAAGGGGCTTTCAGCTGTTGGACGATTGCCCTTTCAATCCCTTCCCCAGTATTTTTCTCTTATGCTGCCCTTCCATCTGGATTTACCTGATATTGTATGAAGCCCCCAGCTCATGGGATTGATTGCAGCCACCGAGCATTGCTCTCTGATGATCAAATTAATATAGACATCATGCAGCCTCTCTACTTAAAAATAATGAAATATGGTTAACAGGCTTTAATGAAGGATTTACAGAGAAAGAATGATTTGGCTTGATTTATTTTGTCGTTTATTTCCCCCCACATATTCTAGTAGCTATTAGTTGGCAATGTGGCTGGAATCTGTTTATGCTGATGATTGCAATGGGTGAGGCAATGGGCTGGAGGTGAGTGAGCTGCTTGGTGTGACTGGCCAGCTTTGGACTGGGTTCTGGTTCTTCTTGAGAACCACATAGCAAGGGACAAACTATTTCCTTGCTTCCTTGACTTGCCTGTGCCTCTTCAGCCTTAAGCCAGACCCCTGCTAGGATAGATGGCTGTGGTCCCTATTGATGAAATCATCTAGGGGTTCCTAGAGTCTTGGTTGGCCTTCAACAGGTCAAGGTGGTCAATGATGGATGAATGTATAAAGATAATATGTATGTATATTATAATGGACTATTATTCACCCACAAAGAAAGAATGGAATCTGCTAGCCACATTGGTGCATGTTATGAATCATAATGATTTGTAGAAAGCATTCAGGCCTCATCTCACCACACTTGGTTTCCAGCCCCTCACCCCCACCCCCAAGAAATGAGGGGTCTTCACCTTCTAAACCCAGGCCTAAGAGCAGAAAATGGAGAATGAGATTCAATTTCTCATCATTGTATAAATAACTGAGACAAATGATTTAAACGCAGGAAGGAGTTATTTTGGCTCCTAGTTTCACCCTGTAGTTGGCTTGCTTCATTGTTTATGGGCCTATGGTGAGGCAAAGCATCATGGTAGAAGGGTCTTGTAGAGCTGGGCTGCTCAACTTATAGTGGCCAGGAAGCAGAGAGCAGAAACAGACTATGGACAAGTTAGCTTCAAAGGCACACCCCTCTGACCTACTCCTTCCACCCAGGCCCGCTTCCTAACAGCCCACTCATCTAGACTTACCAGTGGCTTCATCCATTGATACGAGTAGCATCACCTCTCAATGACTGGATTCACCATCTGGAGACCTTCAACATGTGTACTTTATAGGGACACTGTATCTAAACAATAACAGGGAGCTATATCCCCTTCCCTTCTTCCTGTCGGCACCTCCCATGCCTCTGCCTATTGCATATTTGGTCACTGGGAAGAGGGAGAAATGTCTTGTTTGGGTCTCAAAGCCTCCAACATAGTGGGACTGGCATCTGACATTGATTTGTTTTTCACTTCTGAGCTGTGTGATGTTGGACTTTCTGAGCCTTCCCAATTTCCTTTGTGAAGGGGAGAGTCAGAAGTGCTTGCAGGATTGTTAGGTTGGGTGAGATGGGGCAGAGTACCATGTTGGCCCTTACTCTTTATAATGGAATGGTGCCATTAGATCAGATGGGGCAGTACTGCTTGAAGCTGCCAGCACCCTCAGGTCTCCTCCCACCTCTTTCAGGAATTCTGTCTTTTGCCTCCTGTGCCCATAACTGAAGATAAGGGGGCCCATCAGCTTTTATCTGTCCTTGGGAAAATGGCTTCCCTTTGTGAAAGGGCCGCCACTCCATCTCCCACTTACTGGAGGCCTTTTGTGAGTGTCTATGGCATTATGCTCCCATTCAAGTCTTCTCTCCCACCCCATTTGACAGAAAACTAAGGCTAAGAATGGAAATCACTTACCCAGCTCACATCAGGAAAGTTGCTGTGTCCCTGCATTTGTGGCAGGGTCATAAAAATCTGAGCCTTATATAAACTGCTCCTCCTGTATCTCAGCCCTGGTTCCACAAAGAGTCATTTTCATTTTCCTGATTGGAATATAAAAGATAGAAGAAAGTATCATCTCTCTCTCTCTCTGAGTGTGGTCCTAGGTAGCTAGGCAAGATACAAAAACCCCACAGCAAAGTCAGGCGCTGGTGGCTCACACCTATAATCCTAAGCTAGTCAGGAGGCTGAGATCTGAAAATTGCAATTTGAAGCTAGCCCAGGCAGCAAAGTCCATGAAACTCTTTATCTCCAATTAATCACAGAAAAAGTTGGAAGTGATACTGTGGCTAAAGTGGAAGAGTACTAGCCTTGAGCAAAAGGAGCTCAGGGACAGCACCAAGGCCCAGAGTTCAAGCCCCAGGACCAGTGTTAAAAAAATCCCTAGCTTACTCATGTAATTATAACCCATCTGTACAGTATTTTCACAATTAAAAAAAAGTGAAAAAAATCCCACAGCTCACACCTATAATCCTAGTTTGGGGAAGCTGAGATCTGAAAATCACAGTTCAAAGCCAAACTGGGCAAGAAAGTCCGTGTGACTCATGTCTCCAATTAACTACCAAAAAAGCCAAAAGCAGAGCTGTGATTCAAGTGGTAAAGTGCTAGCCCTGAGCAAAAAGCACAAGGATAGTGCCTAGGCCCTGAGTTTAAGACTCGGGACTGGCACCAAAACAAACAAAAAGAATCCCACAGCATAATTCACAATAATGGAATTATCTGGGTTGCTAGTGATAAATGACTAGTTAGAAAAATATTACATATAAATGTATGTATATGTAAGATATATATATATAATAGTGAACTATTAATTATGACCTATAAAAAGGGCGAATACTTAAAATCCCAGCTACTCAGGAGGCAGAGATCAAGAGGATTTAAGTTTGAGACAAACCAGGGCAAAAAGCTAGTGAGACTTCTCAACAAACAAGTTGGGCTCATGATTATGGTCACAGATGCATACATGGCATAGGAAAAATAAGATTTTTGCAGTAAGCTCAGCTCTGGCCAAAAAGCATGAGACTTTATCTGAAAAATAACTAAAACCAAAAAATGGCTGGGAGCATGGCTCAAGAGTAGAACACCTACCAAGCAAGACAAAGCCCTGGGTTCCAATCCTAGTATTGACTTTCACCTAAAAAAAGGAAAAAGAATCATGTTCATTGTGACAACATGGATGAAGGATACTATGCTAAATAAAATAGTCAAGCACAGAATGACAAATACCACATGCTCTCACTCAGTGTGGTAGCTAAAGACATTGATTTCATGGGAAGCCAGAGTAGAATAGTAGCAACTATACTTTAAGACTGAGAGGGGACATAGAGAGAAGCTAGATAACAAGTACTGTGTTAGTCAGCATGTTGTAGTTGTGACAAAATACCGGAGAAAAATCAACTCAAAGAAGGAAAGGTTTTCTGGATGTAGCTCACACCTGTAATCCTAGCAGGGAAGTCTGTGAGACTCTTGTCTCCAATGCACCACCAGAAAAGCTGGAAGTGGCTCAATTGGTAGAGTATTAGCCTAGAACAAAAAAATGCCCAGAGACAGCATCCAGGCCCTGAGTTCAAGGACCAGGACCAGCACCAAACAAAACAATAAACAAAAGAAAAACAGGAAAAGTTTATCTTGACTCATGGTTTCAGAGGTTTTAATTAGCTGGCTCTGTTTCTTTTAGGCTTGTGGGAAGTAGAGGATATTGTGGGAAATGTATGGAAGTTACTAACCTCATGGCTATCAGGAAACCAAGAAAGAAGAGGGGATAGGGTCCCAATATCCCCTTCAAGAACACTACCCCCAGTGACCTCACTTCCTCCCACTAGGCCTGGTCTCCTACTTTGGGAGACTCCAGGAGCATCCCAGATGCAAGCCATAGCAGGTTCCAAAATAGAGCAATACAGGAGTAAGTTCTATAGACACGCAGTGCTTGTAGGTTTGCAACAACTTATTATATTTTATTTTAAAAAAATTAAAAGTTTCTGATATAAGTGAAAAATACATAAGGAGCCAGAAATGAAAATTATTCTGGTTTGACAGTTACATGTTGTATATAAGTATTGAGATATCACACTATACCACAAGTATGTGCAACTATCATGCCAGCTTAAAACATCATATGTCTATTTTGAAATGATTCTACAAGCACATTGAAAGCACAATATGAATGTGACAAACTGGCTGGATGTTGTCAGTGGTTCACACCTGTAGTCCTAGCTACTCAGGAGGCTGAGATCTAAGCATCCTACTTCAAAGCCAAACCCAGCAGGAAAGTCCATGAAATTCTTTCTTTTCTGGGGGTGGGGTCCGGTCGTGGGGCCTGAACTCTGGGCCTGGATGCTGTCCCTCAGCTCTTCAGCTCAAGGCTAGCACTCTACCACTTGAGCCACAGTGCCACTTTGGCTTTTTTCTTTTTGCTTATGTGGTGCTGAGGAATAGAACCCAGGACCTCAGACATGCAAAGCAAGTTCTCTCACTGAGCTACCTTCCCAGC